ATGTTTAGAACTCTTTAAAACCTTGTGTAACCTAAGTTTGGACCATTTTATTTACCCTATTTTAGTGTAAAACTGCACACTAAACCTAAATTTTAGTAAAAACTATTATATCTCAAAAACCTGACTAAGAAACAGGGTTAGGTATACTAAGTAAAAATGTCCAGAACCCCCAAAAACCTTGTGTAATTTAAAATTTGGACTATTAAATCTGATCCCTATTTTGGTATTAAACTGCACTCTAACCCTAAATTTTAGCCAAAAACTATTTTTTATTAAAAATTAGGGGGTGGATATCAATATCCTCCGGTGTTATATACATAAATACAATATTAATAATTAAAATAAATTATTGATTGTAATGAATTATAGTATAATATTGTACAATAAAAATTATACTATTAGTAATATAACTATTCAATAATATATTTTAATAAATTATCAAAATTTGATCAAAAAGTCTTGAAGCCTCATGATAGACAAACTGACCTGATTATATTCTTGAATAGTCATATTGCCGATAGTATAATTTTTGTCGCACAATATTATACAATGATTTGCTACAATTACTGATTAATGTCATTATTATTTTAAATATTAATATTATATCATATTGATTAAACATCAATATTTAAATTTAAGAAATTTTTCCTGAAGCACAGACTAACCCATATACTTTGACAATAATAAAAAACTTATCTATACTTTTCCAAATTGAGAGCAATTAAAATGAATCATATCGATGTATACAATTACTTTCCAAATTGATAAGACAATTAAAAATGAATCATATCACTCTTTCCAAATTGGTAGAACAATTGAAATGAATTATATGAACTCTGCATTTTACTATTGTTTTTTTAATAATATGCTGATATGCAGGATTCATAGAATTTATAGAATTTAACTTCGCTGATAACTCTTTCGTCAAAGTAGATCTGATTTAAGTTAGGGTTGGCCTGGTTTTATGGTTAGTATTGGCTAAATATAGATTGTTAGCAAAATAGCTGTTGATAAATTTTATCAGAATTGATTTAAATACCTTACTATTAAAAAATATGAAAACATATAAGAGTTAAATTATTTCTTGTGTTGATATTATACTATATTTCCGTAAATAAAAAATGGATGGTTAGTAAACTTTAAATTAAATATAAATTTTACAAAAGCTAATTACTTACATTTTATATTTTAAAGATAAAGTTGAAAACCCAGCTTGTTTGTTTAATAAACTTGTTGAATCTTATAAGCACACGAAGCAATTAACTGAATGTGAAATTAAAGAAAAACAAAGATTTCGCAATGCATCCACTGATTTGATTAAAACCTGAATTCAATTATTTAAACCTTATTTTTCTGAATTAGGTGATCTAAAAAAAGAATTACAAAAATATATAATTTGCGAAAAACATTATAATCAAATTATTGCAAAAAATAACTATTTGGACTATTTAAAAGGTAATATATCTGATTATTCTTGAAAAAGAAGTCGTATTGTACTAAATAAAAATAGTTCAGTTTTAAGTAATACTCAAGAATCTTCAACTGTTGATATTGGAATTCAAGTAGCAATGAATAGTAAACTTTTAATACAAATAGATACCTTAAAACTTTTCTTGGCTAATCTTGTAACTGATCATTCTAAATAATTACAAACTATTCAAACTAAAAATAATAAAATTGCTGAATTAGAACGCGAATGTGAATATTTTACAAAACAAATTGCTAAGCTTAATAATAAGTTAGAAATTTTAAATTTATATCAAAATCAAGTTGAAATATTAAAAATAGAAAAAATAAATTAGAAAAAGAAAATATATACTTAAATAAACAATGGGATGAGTGACATGATACTCAACAAAAACATATAGTAGAAATCATCAAAATCGCTTTATTAGAAAGAAAATATCTATTTGATGATATTGTTTATTTAATTAATAATCAAAATCGGGTTTCTTTAGAAAATTTATTAGCATTTGATTCCTCTAATTGGCTTAAACATCATAATCCTATAATAGTAAAAATTTGTTAAAACACTTATGGATAATAATGATAAACAATTATATCAAAATAGAAGTTTCAAATGTGTGGCTGCTATAGATGCAATTTATAAATCATAGCATAGCAAATATGTTTTGGAAATAAATCTTGCTGCATCTGCAATTAAGTATTCTATTGCCTGATCTAAACTTATAATAGACATTAATAATCATATTACTAGTGGAGGAAGCTATACAAAATTTATAAATTGGATTGAGAGTTTAACAATTGAACCCAAACCTTTGCCTAACAGATTTTTAATTTTGGCTTTTGATAATGAACAAAAAGACAAAGAATTATTTAGATTGGGGTCACAACATGGTTATATATCATACTGTAACTAGTTTTGTAGTTCTTAACTTTGATCCAAATAATAATAGTCAATTAGAAATTGAATCACGAAAATGCACTTCGCTTAGCAAAGATAATATTAGCCAATTGTATTATTTAAATAATAATATAAAAAAAAACTTAAAGAAGAGCTTCAATATTTTATTAACGAAATAATAAATAATTTACTTACAGATAAACATCAAGAATCGAATGAAATTGACAAGCTTATCGAAGAACAAAATAATACAACTAAAAAAAAAATGGTTACAATGCTTTATATCAGATATTGATAACAAAAAGTGTAATTGCCCTAATTGCAATACCAAATTACCAGTGCTCACCTCAACAAATCAAACATTATCTTTTTAATGGCCATTAGTATCAGAAAATACAAATAAGACAATAATATTTAAGCCTTATGAACTTCAGAAACTAAATGAATCTAGTATTAAATTACAACAACCCGGAATTAGTATAATACAAAAAATCACAATAGATCAAAATGTAAAAATTTCAGAATTATACGTTCCTGACCCGATTCCTATTAATCATAATTCTTTTGAGAATGTTAAAAAAGTATTAGAATATATTGAAACAATTGCTGGAATTAAATCTGAAAGACGTAAATAGATACCTGTTATATGTGATGGTATACTATATAATCAAGCATTAAAGTTAAGAAAAGACTTTCCATAGTTAATTTTACTTCTAGGTGCTTTACACAAAGAAATAAATATGCTCAAAGCATTTGTTAAGCTAAACTAATATAAATTACTATCTTTTTTTAATATCGATTTCATACAAAAAAATTTCAATTAACACAAAAATCTTTTTGTAAAAAATTAAATGTTTTTTGTATAAAATTAATTAAATTTTAATCAGATTAAAGTTACTTGATATAAATATAATAAAAATGATATACCAGGTAACTTTAACTGAGTAAAATAGAATTTTCCTAAAAAAAATTTTTTTTACTTATATTTAATTTTTAATTTTTAAGAGAAATAGATATAAAAACATTTGCTCAGTGCCAAGAATACCGAACAGATAATCAGCTAATTTTTTTCATAAATGTGCTGATCATCATAAATCGTAAGACTCAATATATAATATTTATCACTATTCCATGGCATCAGAATTAATTTGGCCATATGTTTTAAATCATAATAATCTAACTTCTAATGGATATTTGGAATGGGCCAAAAATCAGACTAACAAAATATATAAATTAAAATTTGAACAAATTAATTATTGGTTTAATTTTAATTTATAATATAAAAATATAAAAAGTACTAAATATAATTAATATGCCGATAATAGATTTTTACTTATCTTCAGGCTATTATTAACTTTCGTAATGGGGTCCAAACTAATCAACCTTTACTGCATAATGTAGCTAGATGTCAATTTGCATCAATATGGTCAGCTAGACATCATCCAATTTACAAAATGCTTGAAATATCACATGAAGAAAATTTATTATATTTGAAGTCTCATATTCGTGAAATTATTGAAAATTTTTCAGTTGTATCTCATACTGGGCTTCAGAATTAGCATCAAGGACTTAATGCTGTTATAGAAGAAATTAACAAGGTATTAAAATCCTTAATACCTCTAGTACCATCACAACGCTATTGGAAGATTGCTGCAAGAAATTATATGAATTTTATAAAGATATTTCCTTAAATATACAGTATAGTCTTGATATACAAACATTTGATTTCTTTATTAGGCCATATAAAATTAATAAATCAGTTCTCATAATTGGCCAGATCAAATTTTATAAAACTTTAAAGTATTTTTTACTAACTGGATGAGTTTTTAAAAAAATTATATATATATTTTATATATATAATTTTGAAATTAAAATTAAGAGCCGGATTGCTGGGTTACTTTAAAATTTTTTCATTATGAAAACTGACTTATTAAGTTTTGTATAGCCTTATATCTAAACTTATTAATATTTCATTACATTAAACTAATTTAAATAAAGGTTAGAGATAACCTTTATTATAAAATTAGCATTCATTATATCAGGGTTTGTTATATTGGTAATACTGTATATTATGCTTCAAATTAAAATTTGGTTACAAAAAATCTAGCTATTATAATTTAGAATTAAACTATCTGACTTCAAAAATCTTAAATAAATTGCCAGCTTAAGAATAAGCATATAGAGGTACCACAGATTACTAAACAATTTACTCAAATAGCAAAAGCAAATTGTTTGATAATCTGTAGTATTTCTGTATAGTAATAAGATTTGTATGCCATAAAGTACTAACTGGTATATTCAGGATATAGTATCTGAGTATAAATTGAATTGTAATTCTCAAACTACAAATCATAAAAGAATCAACTAGTTGCACTTAATAGTAATTACAGTATATTAATTATATATTCTCAAACTAAAGTAATTTATAAGAATCTTAAAGCCAGGTAACCTAATTCTAAATCAGAACCATCAAATTCTAAATTCAGCAGGTTTTAATTTAGATATAGTATTAATATAGTGCTTAATAAAAATTTAGTTGCATACCAACCTGTTTAATATTATTGGATATGAGGATATTGAGAATATAAAACAATGAACTCGACCTGATTCTTATGTGAAACAACAACGCTTTCATATGTATGTGAGAAAAAACAGTTTCTTAATCTAAAAAAAAATAGTTTAACCAATTTAGATGGTGATGTTAATTTGAGTGAGGATATAAAATTATTTAGCACACTAGCACAAGAAAGAAGACAAAAGTTTATTCAAACTACCTTATTACAGCAAGCTAGTACTAATGTTTGGCATCTGATTCCAGTAACAGAACAGAAAGCTGATGCACTAAAAAATGAAAATACAATAAAAAAAGAAGAGCTTATTGTAATTATTAATTCAGTACTTATCTCACTTCCTGACTCACAACGTGTGAAGTATACTAATTTAAAAAACAAATTAAAGACTATACTTCTAACAATATTACAAGAAATACGAGATTTTAATAATGTGAAAGAAACTATAGATGAAGAGAATACTATTAATGAACTTACTGATGAAAACTAATATATCCATTATATAGTTTAATAAATTTCTATTGCCACATTATCACAATACTAATTTTTGATTAGATTCTTATTGTTGATCTTAAAATTCATTTTAAAATCACAGTTATTAAGTGGTACTAAATTGTTTAAACCAAAATTCGAATTTGGATTTGCTAAAGTTTTTATTAATATATTAAAATACAATATTGTATAAGATAGATAAATTAAAAAAACTGCTTATCTAAAAAATTTAAATTTCAACCAAATCTTCTATGCTATATTTTGTGAGAGCCAACACCCAATAAAATTAAAGCGAAGTCTTGAAATTCAAATCCCTACGTTGAATAACAAAATAATTGATATTATTCTTTGTACGTCTATTAATAAAGATAAAATAAACACATCGTATTAATAAATAAGAATTGTTTTTTAACGAAAATAACTATAATAAAAATTACTTATCAAGTATTATTTTATTGATTTCTAACTAGGGTGCTTCATTGTTAGGATTAGACCCTTCTCTATAAAAAAAAAGTTGATCCGTGTTTTATATTCCATGTTGCAGAATCACTGTCTTAATAAAAAATATAGAAAAATAATGAAAATATTTGAAAAAAATTTTTTACAAAGCTTTTCACTATAATTCCTAATATTGTTTAATTCTCTTGATTTAATCTTTTATTAATCGTTCATTTTCTTCATTTTCTAGATTCTAATTTAAATCTGGAAAGTACTATTTGAAAATTACTACCAGTATATCAAATTTGTGTCTTGATAGTTTTATTATCTACTTGAATACTTCTAGCTGCAAATTCAACATCCATAGTGGATTTGGATTCATTACGAATGAAACGTGAAAGAAGATTGGACTTCTCATCCCCAGAGTACCAATTAAAACAACTAAAAGAAGTATTAAGCTAATATTAGATAGAGCACCATCTGCAAGCTAGTTTTGTTAAACAAAGAAGTAAAAACTATATGACTTTGTCTAATAGTTTTGTAAAAATAACGTTTTAAATAATGACGTTTGATGCCATCAAGAAAAATGATATATGGTGAGTGGCCAAATTAAAGAACTGGATGAGAGCTTCCTTTCATAAATGTATACTTGTTGGTATTTCTTAACCACAAAAAAACAAAAAAAACTATTACAAGCCATACCTTTAAAATGATAATCATATTTGTCATCCTTATTCATTTTAAGATTAAAAAATTAAGTAAGAGTGAAAATTATAGTAAGCTTTCGCAATGTTTTAAAAATAAAAGATGGCTGTAGTGGTGTGAAATGAAGTTATTATTGATTAATTATTTTTATATTTGATAGTACACAAATAGTTAAAGGCTGAACTGATTGGTGAATTTTCTTTATATTTAGTCTACTTTTATTATTCTTCACATAAACCTTTCTGTTTCTTGGAACTTTTGTTTTTTGAACTTTACTGGTGGTTTGTGAGTAATATCTGCTAATTAAGTACTACATAACCACACTCTAATAATTAATACTTAGACTACACTCAACAACTATATTAATACAGAAAAATAAGTTAAAAACAGTAAAATTTAAATTTCAACCCGTCTTAAAAAGTTAATTAGATACTTATTTTTTAAGCGCACATAGCTTAGACATAAAAGTGGATTCAATGATAATTTTTGTGGATTCTAAATCTTTAGAACTCAAAATACCCGCTTTGATAATTTAAAGAAATTTTTTGAAAAAAAAAATCATGTGAATTTAGATCAAAATTTTGTAAAAGTAGCAAAAAAATAGTCAATTAAAATTTATTTTGTAGATCATCAACGAATTTCTAAATTCTAGAATAATCTTGTTCATCAATCCAAATTTGGAAAAATCCCAGACTGTATTGTGTTGGAATTAAAATGTTGAGATGTTTAATTAGAAATTTTTTAGCTTCTGAATAATACATTTAGTTGTAGTCCATATGAATTTGTTTAATTGATACTTTAAATTGTATTTGTAATTTAAAATAAGTAATAACTCTTGCAATAATGTGGATGTCTGTAGTTGTAGTAATAGTTTTTTCAAGAGCTTGTTGTTTTAACAAACCTTGAAGTCTATCATTATCTAT